AGAGAGAGAGAGAGAGAAAGGAAGGAAGGAAGGAAGGAAGGAAGGAAGGAAGGAAGGAAGGAAGAAGGAAGAAATAAGAAAAGTCCCTGCCATGGGCTGAGGGGTAGAGGAGGGAGGGTTGGCAGGAGAGAAACTGGAGACATTGGTGGAGGGCAACGCACACTTGGTGAATAGACAGGTTTTGGACTGAAACCCAATCATGAACAACTTTATAACTGTGTATCTTGTGGTGATTCAATTAAAAAAAATTTTTTAAACTAAAAGAACCCCACCCAAACCCCTGGGCCATGCCTGAGAAGACATGGCTGTCGAACCTGCTTCTTCCCCAGTGAACCATCCCCCAAGTTTTATTTAGTTCTCTCTAAAGCTAAGTAATACTTGCTTGCTTCAGATTTGACTTGAGAATAGTGAAAGCATGTAAACAAAAGTGTTTTCTGGGGCTGGAGCAATATATAGTATATAGTATATATATATATATATATATATATTATATAGCATATATAGTATAGTAGGTAAATCCTTGCACGCTGCCATCCTGGGTTTGATTCCTGGCATCCCAGACAGTTTCCCAAGCACTGCCAGAAGTGATTTCTGAGTGCAGAGGTAGGAGTAACCCCTAAGCATTGCAGGGTGTGGCCCCCAAACAAAAAACAAAGATGTCTTCTATATGGTGAGTGTGTTTACAAGTGCCAGAGATTTAAATTCATCCAGATTGCACTGACTCTTCCTTAAACTTCATAACTTTGTATTGCACAGTTGATAAAACACAGCTGGTCTTACAGGGAAGAATATATCACATACCTGCCTTCAGTTATTGATTGGGATAGACAGTCACTGTGTGCACAGGAGAATGGTATGGCAGACTCCCGCTTGGTGGTTTTACTTTTCCCATAACAGGAAGGCGTTTAAGTGAGACTACCCACTGGAAAGCAGTTTCAGGCAGGCCACAGGGCTCTCTCCGTGCACGTCTTCAGCACGCATCTCCCATGGTACTGATTCCTCTTTGTCATCTGCTCCCAGGTGGGGTTCTCATAATGATTTTGAATTTTCTTTGAAGGCTTTTCCAGATTTGGGGCACCAACTACCAAATAACTTTAAGAAATAATTTCCTGGCTAATGACATCTTCTCATACCTACTGGACAAAACTGAATCCTAGTGTATTCAGAAAGAAAAGAAGAACCATAGAGCGAATACAGACTCTGGTGACTGCTTTGCAAGCAGCCAACCTGGGGTTTGAGCCCTAGCACATGCATGATCTGCTGGTCCCCACCAGGAACATACCCTAGCACAGCTGGGGGTAGCCCAAAAACAAAACTGCAAATTTGTAGTGGTTGGGTTTGTGGCTCAGTGGTAAAGCACACACCTCAGATGTACAAAGCCCTGAGACTGACCCCCTCACATGCACACCTGCACACACACACACACACACACACACATACTCAAATCCAAACACACACACACACACATACACACATACACACTCACGTCTGAACATACAAACACACAAACGCTCACATCCAAACACACATACATACATACTCATGTCTGAACACACACAAAGACTCTTTCACATCCAAATACAGACACACACACTCACATCCACACACACACACTCATGTCCAAACACACAGACACACTCACATGCTCACATCTGAACACACATATGTGATCACATTCGAATACACACATACACACACTCTCATGTCCGAACACACACACACACACACACACACTCACATCCAAACACACACACACACAGACACATACACGTGCTCACATCTGAACACACACACATACACACAAGCACATTTTTAAGCCCCTCTTGGGGGCATAGGAGAGAGCTCCCCAAAGAGGCCCAGGAGCAGCTCCTAGTGACACTCAATTCAGTGTTCCCCTGAATATGTGGTGCTATTCAGGTCCTGTGGTGGCAGGGACCACCAGGACAACATCTAGTGATGTTCAGGGCTGTGAGGTACCAGGGCCAAACCCTTGTATAATCTCCCTGGTCTTTAAAAAAATAACAAACTTTTTGTGTGAGCCACAGCCACTGGTGCTCAGGGCTTACTCCTGACTCTGTGCACAGGGCTCACTCCTGAGGGCTCAGGGGACCATATGGGGTTCTAGGGTCCCAGGTCAGATACAAGACAAACACCCAAGGTACTGTACTATTTCTCCTGCCTTTAAAAGAGGCCTTTTATATTAAGTTTGTGAGACTTAGGAGTTACATAAAAATGTCAGCGGTGGAAGTGCCACTAAGTACCCTGGGCTGGGAGCTCAAGAGCTATATAGGTAAACCCAGAGCATCATTTGACCACCTGAGTGTTCCTGATGAGCAGTAATAAACCTTGTTGACTTTGGCTCTCAGGTTGTGCTGACCCAAGAGAAATCTGGGGGGGGGGGGGGGGGGGGAGAAGAAACCATCTAAATAAATAAATAAATAAATAAAAGAGGGCATTTCAGCAAACATTCCTAGGTTCCCTCTGCAAATCAGTTTTTTACTGCTGGGAGCATCTGATTCCACCTGTCCTACACCTGGCATACATAGATCAAGTCACACACCAGTTAATAAACCAAACTTTATTTCACTTTAATACAAAAATTAAATAGCAAAGTCCTTTTGTACAGTGATAAATTAGAAATTTACAGTACAGACATACTTTTGTACATCCTTAAAAAGCAGGGTCTGTTTCCTCCGAAGTTCAGAAACTCATCCAAGGCCTGAGAAGCAGGAACTCGCCTGATACCTATAGGTTGAACCTCAAGGTAGCTGAGGGGCACACAAGGCAAGGGCCCCAAAGGGTGTGATGGCCACACCACCAGGTCATCATGATTTCTTTACCCCACAAATCATGTCTGGTAAGTATTCTGCCTAGCATAGAAAGAGCTCAAGGGGCCTTCGTTCTTGAACCCTCTAGAGTCTCACAACATCCCTGTGAGGTAGGGAAAATTCTGGAGCCAGAGTGTGTGATCAACAGGGCAGAACCCAAGCGGGAGATGTGCAGCGTAGTGCCCTTGCCCCTCTCCCAGAAGCCTCTTGGGATGACTACTCAGGCATCAGAAAGGGAAAATGGCTTCTGGACATGACTCATATGGAACCCAAAACGAACCTGGGCTGACTGGGCTGTGAGCACTTGTGATTCTCTAGTGCAGAGACAGAATCAGATAACTTAAAGGCAGACCATGGAGGTGATGGAGGTAGGCAAGCTCCAGCTTTTCCCCCTTCCCAGTTCTATCCAGTGTGCATGATGCCACCTGGGCAGCAGAAAGAGCTGGCTAGGCCCAAGGAAACAAAACCCATGAGTGTAGTTGATCCTTGTTGGAGCAAAATGCTCCTAGGAGTTTCCAAGATCTGCAATCTCAGTGTAGAGGAAAAGTGGTAAGTGTTGTCCTCTGCCAGACACAATATAAATCCAGACAGGGACTCTGAACTCAGTAAAGGAACCAAAGACACCATTAGAGTCCAGTGATTTGGCTTAGGTGGTAGAACAGCAACTCTTCCCTCCATTACCGAACCACGTTCAGTGGGTAGATGGATCCTGGGGGCACCTCCTGAGGCCTCCGCCTGGGCCAAGACACCGGCCCTCTCCCGAAACCAGACTGATCCCCCGCTCACTCTGATCTTCCAACACAGATTCCCTCTGCGTCTCACATGCCTGCCTAGTTCCCTGAACAATAAGTTCTGTACTCAGTGGCCAGAAAGCTAAAACAGGCCCAAAGGACAGAGGCAGGGGTGCTGCAGAGGCACAATCCAAAGCACACAGTCAGGACTGCAGGGCAGAGGAGGTGGGGAATGTAGTCAAGAGCCTTCTCAGACAAATCGTCGCCCTTCTCTGGTTCCAGGCCTCCTAGTAAACTGCCATCAAAGAAGCAACTCAGAGACTAGGAAATGGATCTCTATCAAGGAAAAGAACAGAAATCAACCAAGCAGTTCAAGCACACGGTTCTGGCTAGTCCCTTCCTACCCCATTCTCCTGCCAAGAGATGGCCTTTATGGAGGAGGAGTGTGCCAGAGAGGGGGTGGTCCTGTGCCCCGCTGAGTAAAATCTCTGAAGGTCTGTGGATTTTTGACCACTGACACATACCTACACACTTAGTAGAGATTAAAAAAAAATCCTCATCTTTTCTTGAGTCTTCTACTTCACCTGCAAAATGTACATGGACCACCTCAAGCTCTGAACTGTCTGGCTCCAAGGCTACATTAGATGCAGAAGTTCGTATTTTTGGGGCAATTTTCAGTCTTCCAGAGGATTGTCCATGAAGAGAGAGTAAAGAAGCAGAACTGATACTTTCTGTCAAAATCCCTGGAATGAACTTGGAGACGGATGAGAGACATATTCATGAAAGGTAATATCCTAAAGAGACTTAGTGAGAGAGTGAAAAAGAATTCAGAGGTCCCTGCACCTCCCCCAAAACCAACAGCAAAGTACAACAGACACAGGATCGCCCTAAGGGTGGGTTGGTTAGAAGAACAGAGTTTATCCTCCATGGCACCCTGTCAGGGGCCTGCAACAGGCCTCCACATAATCAGCACTCAAGAGATGTGATAGTGATTGGAAAGAGAAGGAAAAAGAAACGACGAAGGAATGAAGGAAGGATGGAAAAGAAACAAAGAAAGAAAAAAGAAGAGAGAGAGAAAGAAAGAAAGAAAGAAAGAAAGAAAGAAAGAAAGAAAGAAAGAAAGAAAGAAAGAAAGAACGGCCAACAAAAGAGGTGATGCAGCTGCCGCGCAGACACAGGCAACTGAGTCCTTAATCGCAAAGCTCCTTCCTAAGGCCGTCAACACTCTCCACTGTCACCACTGTAGAGGAAAGACCCAGACCTGGAGACATTGCTAAGACTAATCCAGTCTACATGACAATCACAATCCCTTCTAACCTAATATACCTTCCTAGGAGAAGGTCAGGGGTTTATGAAAAGACAAGCCAAAACGCAGGGCAGAGGTCTGGAGCTCAGGTGTGCGGCTGTAGTTACTACTTCATCACTCACCGAGAATAGGCACCTACTCTGAGCCCAGACCTCCGCCAGGCTACCCTGTTCACACACGCCCTGTCACACACAACAGAAGTGACAGGGTCAACCCCTATACTGCAACGGCAAGGCCAGCGACTCTGCACAGCCTTCCTTCCCCTTCCTGGCCCGTGTCTCTGCACAGTCCCAAGACGCTGGATGGAGCGTGAGTAAGGGCAGGCCCTGAGCAGTGTGGGAACCACTGCAGAGCAGCTCAGGGAGGGCGCGCTCCACACGTCAGCGCCAACGGAGTTGCAGATGGAATTCGACTGGCCCTTCGGGGGCTCAGTTCTCATGCTCCTGGAGCCCTGGCCCAGAACCCAGCCAAGGCCCCTGAGGTCAACACACACAGCCAGGGCCACCCAAACCCACTCTTTTCTGCTTCAACCCTCCACAAGACTTTCCCTTCCAAACATGCCCCAAACTTCATATTTGCCTCAAATGATAACTTTATCTCAGGCAACTCAAGAACCATGCAAAAACTGGGAAAAGAACGAAGGAAAATTCCAAACCATGGGCAAAACATTCACATAAGAAACAGAGGTAGAGAGAGGGAGACAGGGACAGAGAGACAGACAGAGACAGAGACAGACAGAGACAGAAACGGACATGCTTATTTCCAGAACCCGATCACCTATTTTGAATCGCTGGAAAAAAATTTTTTCCACAAAAAAGTGTGATAAGCACTTTCCCACCTGTTTTAAAGGGCAAAGGTGTGTGTGTGTGGGGGGGGGGGGGGAAGGCAGGGGAAAAGGCATGAACAAATAATTAAAAGAGTCACTGCAAAGTAGTTGCCGAAGCAAAAACAGGTATGAGTTATAAAGCAGAGCAGCCCATGATATCTTCACCAATCTGTCCCAGAGATCTGATGATCAAAGGTTAAAGAAGAGGCCAGTTACTATCGGAAAGGAATTGCAACTTTGGAGAAAAGGCAAGAGGTACTTCTCCTGCAGTTTCACAAGAGAAACACAAAGCACAAAGTTTAAACGCTTTGGATACCACTGCAAGCAAATCACAATTAAGACCTGTGCTGCCAATAGTTTTGCAGTCCATAAGCCCACAAGTTTATTCCCCCCTAACCAATCAGGTTTCTGTCTAGCATTCTGGAGATCCATTAAGCATCATATAAACAGTCCAGGCCATGCTACCTCCAAATGAGATCTCACAAGAGGCTTTGCCAAGCCCTCAGCAACAATTAACCGGCACTGGGTGCTTGGCTTCCCTACCCTTAGACCCCTCCACAAAACTGACAAAGTCTCCATGGTAGCAAGTAGACCAGGCACTGATAACATTCTTATGTAAAAGGAAAATAAGGCACTATCATTTTGAGAATGCAAACTGACCACAGTTTTAAAGTCAGTTGAGTATATTATGTCATGGTCCAAGAATGTGCTTTTAATTGTAATTGACACACACAAATTACACAGTTAATCGTGTGAATGCAAAGTTGCCAAGAAACTTAACATTTTAGCTCTTCCAGACTGGCGTCTGCACAGATGCAATCACATGAAGTAAAATCTATTAAGTCCCTGTTGCTCAATGCAATAGGTCTCAGGAGTTGGTAAGGTAAGTCCACTTGGAAAATCTCATTTTCTTCTAAATTAAGTGATTGTCAGAACGTGAAATCACCCTTCCTTTCCCCCCTCATTAGGCATGCTGCAGTGCAAAAAACCCTATAAAAATACCCTTTTGAGTCATTAATATAAAATGAAGAAAGCAGCAGCAGCCCAGAATAGAGATGTTGAAATTTAAGAATAAAAGTGAGGAGAATAAAAAGCCCACTGAATACCTCTATGTGTTTGTACAGTACTTTTGTTTGTTCAAACAATTCTGTTTTATGACAAAGGCACTGAAAGGTTCTGACACCACCTCTTGGGAGAGCAATTCACAAAGTTCTAAACAGCAGAGAGTGCCACAGAAAATGTTTATGTTAGATCAGCCAAACTATAAAAGTCTCCTAACACTTCTCTGAACCTAGCATTTCCAGTGTTTATAGATCGCTTTGCTATCTGAAAGTCCCAGTTAGTATTTAAATTTTTAAAGGGTTAAAAAAGTTAATCTTTCTTCTCCCTGCAAACTGCCAGCTCAGGTTCTAATCCCAGCTGCAGGGGAAGCAGCACTGCTGAAGCTTTCAGAATCCAGGCAGGACCTCATGCTCCAAGCTGCTAAAGTGATCAACATTTTGATTTTTCACAGCTTCGAAAGCCTCTAATTGGCTTTTGCATTTGGGATTGTTCCAAGTCGGCAGCAAAATCCCTAGTTTTATGAGGCTGGATTGAGGGTAGGGAGTGACAATGGTGATGGGTGTCACCTACAAGTTGCTAGTTTGTTCAAACTGAGATTCACTGAGTGGAATTTTTAGTAGCATCTGCAATGAAATGCTGGCGTCACCCCTTTGAAACAAGGAGAGTGAGGAGGGGACTGTCCTCTATACCACAGTTTCATTGCCTTTCCCGGGCTTCACCCAACCATTTCCTCTCTTTTCTCTCTTTACCTTCCCAGAATTCACCAATCTGTTGGAACACTTCTGCCACGTGTGAAGAGTTTTGGCAGACCAAATCCACATGCCTGAAGTGATGCCCACCAGCAGAGACATAAAAATTTTCAACATTTCAACAGCCATATTGGAATCATCTGCAGAATAGCGGAAGAGAGCCCAGTTGGAGATCTCATAGAAATAGCAGGCGATCACGCAGGTGGCCGGCACAGTGTACAGGACCGAGAAGACCCCGATCTTCACCATCAGCCTCTCCAGCTTGTCTGTCTTTGCCCCATCCTTTTGTAGATTTGACCGAATTTTAAACAAGGCCACCAAACCTGCAGCGATGAATAAAGTTCCAATCACCAAGTACGTGAAGAGCGGTGCTACCACAAAGCCGGTCAGGGCATCCAGGTTTTGGTTTCCTACGTAGCACAGTCCAGTCAGCTCGTCTGCATCTACCAACCTCATGATCAGGATGACAATGGTCTTCACGGCAGGGATGGCCCAGGCAGCAATGTGGAAGTAACTGCTGTGCATTTCAATAGCTTCATGACCCCACTTCAGTCCCGCTGCCAAAAACCAAGTGAGGGTCAGAATAACCCACCAAATGGAGCTGGCCATTCCAAAAAAGTACATCAGCAAGAAAATGATTGCACATCCTGTATTCTTAAGTCCTTCTTGGATGAGAACAGGTTCTGCTGCCTCTTCAAAATCGCAGGATATCCTTTCCCGGCCAACGGTCAGCCTGACAATATAAGCAATGCTATAAATATTATAGCACATACTGAGGAATATGATGGGGCGCTCGGGGTAGGAGAACCGAGAGGAATCGATGAGGAAGGTGAGTACGGTGAAGGCGGTAGAGAGGAAGCAGAGGCTGGCCCATACTGCCATCCAGACGTCAGTGAACTCCTTGGCGGAGCGGCTGTACAGGCCCGCATCATAGCCACACTTGAGGACGCAGTTCAGGCTCCGCTTAACCCAGATGTACTGGTCAGAGCTAGTCCCTGCAGAGGGGCACTCCTCCCCCGTCTGGATGGGGGTTTTGTGTGCGAGGGGAACCTCCTCGTCCCCCGGCCCTTCCATGCACATGTGGTTGTGGTCGTTCTGGGGGGGGAACTTGCTGCAGTTGAGGCTCTCTGGCCAGACAAAGCCGAACTCCTTGAGCACGGGTTCACAGCGCCTCTTGACTGACAGACACATACCGCCGCACGGCCCGATGGGGATGTTGATCTTCTCTGTGCACATTGGCACATACACCGAACAAAGGAAGAACTGGGAAAGTAAGGACATTAACAAAGAAAACAATGACTTGGGAAGTCTGACCAAACGCCTGCACAAAAATCAGCCAAACACTTGCAGACAATGTCCATATCGACTTTTACACCAGCCTACAGGGAATCCGACCGTCTGCCCCAGCCCCAAACAGGGGTGCCTGGCAACTAATGCTCTAGTGTTCTTTTGTTCCAGTAATGCCTTTCAAGAGAACATAATTAATAAATAGATAAACAGACCTGAGGAATCACAGACTCCCCTTTCATGTAATACTTAGAGAAATTAACCTTAAAAATGAATTCCTGGTCTCCCCTTCAACGCCTACTGCAGAGCTGAGCAGCGAATCAGCATCGTTCCTGCTGATAACAGGTAGTTTACTTTGATCCCCACTTATCGCCACAAAAGTAAATATTTTTTTAAGTGTGGATCCTGCCTCCTGTTTATAATATCTTTCCACTATTTTATTTCTTGGAAAGATGTTTTAGCAAATCCCACACTGGAAAAGAAAATGTAAGACCCCAGGCGGGATGCAGGGTGAAGTCTCTAGTCCCCAGGGGCTTGTTTGGCCAAGTTTCCTTGTTAAATAATAATGAAGCACAATAGGAAAATACAAATGTTGAGTCCCTGAAATGACGAGAGCAGCAGGGGAGAGTCCAGTTGCTGTCCTCAATTCCTCCAGCATTGATAAACAGTCTGCCTGGCTCCTTACAGATGTTGTCTATGAAGTCTAGGGTTACATGCCACTGGTTTCCAGCAAGTAAAGGGATCCAGTCTTGTCCTTCAAAATAGCCTGGTCGGTCCCCCAGGATACACAGAATTAAAATATATATCCCTGCAAAAACTGCCCAAATTGCCACTGAAGTCAGGATATGTGCTGTTTCTAAACAGCTAGAGGGTCCTTCCTTTAGCTTTTATAATCTAATTCTAAAGTTTAAGACTTCCAAAGGAACCTTTCAGCAGCAACAAGTCTAATCCAGACATTTTTCTGAAACCACAGTCAATGTTTTCAATGACCTATGTAAAAACCATGCACCTAGTAATCTGCCTGTCCATTTCTTATCTCTCAGAAGTTACAACCAGAACCAGGCATTTCTAAGGCTTGGGGGAGGGGCAACTACCCTTTACTTAGAAGCTTTCTCAGCTCCTAAAATTAAAAAAAGAAGACCCATATCCTTAACCAACCAAATCACAATCTATTTTACACACAAAAAATGTCCTTTCAGTTACTTTTGTGTCCAATAAATCCGTTTGGGGGGTGGGAGGTGCGGGTAGGGCTTTAATCGCCCTATATAAACAAATTACTTTTTCCTTTACTTTTGTAGGAACGAACATTTCCTACCTTTACATTCTTAAATAAATTACTAGGCGGTCAGATATAGTAGGTAGGGTGCTTAAGCAGCCAAATCCTTAAGATCCCCAGAACCACACATGGTCCCCCCCAAACCACCAGAAATTACCCCGAGTACAGAACAGGAGTAAGTCCTGAGCATCGCTGGTGTACCCCCCCCCCCCAAAAAAAAAAAGCAGCAGCAAAAATTTTTCAGTAACTGTAAAAACATTCTTGTGAATGCATGCACCTTCCTGGAGAGTTTACCATAGCTCGCCCCCAAGCTGTCCTCTTCCCTCTGAGCACCAGAACTGCCTTCCTCCCCCTCTACCCACGACCCAGGAAAGGAAAGAACCTGGCCAACCCCGCCCCACCCCCACCTCCTTCCTACAGGACCCCCGACACGCGTCTGGACAGTACCAGGAGTGCCATTCCGGAGCAACCCCCAGCAGCGTCGGCCGAAACAGGGGCGGTGGGTGCGGGGGAGTGCCCGGCGCCCGATTTCTCCTGGCAACCCTCCCCGGCAGCTGGCCGCGCTGCCTCGCCCTGCGCGCAGTAACCGCGGCGGCCAGCGCCTGGCGGAGCGGGGCTCGGCCGGCGGGTGAGGAGAGGTGAGGGGCTCGGGCTCGGCGGGCCGTGGGCAGCGCGGGGAAGGGCGGGGTGCGGGGTGGGCTCTGCCGCGGCCGGAGAGTTACACAGCGTTCTGGATCGCAGCGCCCGCGGGGGACAGACAGGGTGGCGGGTGGAGCACCCCCGGGCCCCGCGGGCGGGGGTCCGGCCGGGGAGGGTCGCCCACCTGCAGCTGGCCGGAGCAGCCGTACTGGATGAGCGGCGTGAACGTCGTCAGCTGCAGCTCGGCGTCCGTCTGCAGCTCGTGCCCCACCAGGTTGGGCATCTTGGTGACGTTGTAGCCCAGGTTCTGGCACATGGAGATGCGGATGGGGTCGCAGCGCCGCTCCTCCTCGTCACCGAAGGCGCGCGCCGGCCCCGGGAACAGCAGCGGGGGCAGCAGCAGGGGCAGCAGCAGGGGCAGCAGCGCCGGCCCGACGCCCCCCGGCGCCCCCGGCCAGCCCATGGCCAGCGCCGGGCGGCTGCGGCGGGAGACAGCCCGGTGTGCCGCACGGAGCGCGACAGGGCGCCAAGGGCGCCGACGGGCAGCGGCGGGCCGCGAGGGTCACGGCTGCAGCGCTGCCCGCACCCCGTGCCCGCCGCGTCCGCGCTCACCCCGGCCCCCGGCGGCGGCGGACGGACACCGCGGCCGCCCAATGGGTGGGCGCCGCGGGCCGCTCCCCGCCCCCGCCCCGCCCCCGCCCCGCCCCGCGCCGGCCCCGCCCCGCCCCGCGCCCACCCGGGCGCCGCGCTCCGGCTGGCGGGACGGAAGCGGACCGCGACCTGCCGCCCGCCTCGCGGCCCGCACCCTGGCGCGAGTGCCGGACCCTGCCCCCGGCGGCCGGAGCGCGGCGCCCACCCCCGCTTCCTCGCCGTCCGAAAGAAACCCACAGGGGGATTCGAGAGGAAGCGAGCCCGGGACGCGCTGTGCTCCGGCCCGCGCCCTTCCTGTCCCGGGACGCGGCCGCCGCCGGGCGGGGCGGGGACGCCGGACACCCCGCGCCCCCCGCCCGGCGGTCACCCCGCGCCCCCGGGCCCCGCCGCCGGACAACCCGCGCCCCCCGCGCCCCCCGGGCCCTGGTCGCCGGACACCCCGCGCCCCCACGTGCCCCCTGGGCCCCGCCGCCGGACACTCCGCGCTCCCCGCGTCCCCCGGGCCCCGCACGCCGGACACCCCTTACCCCACCCGCCGGCCAGGCCCCGGCCGGGGTGCCCGAGGTGTCCTGGGAGGTGTCCTGGGCGCAGGCCTGGGCCATGCAGCCCAACGCCGGGTCAGCGGGGAGCTCGGCCCGCACTGCCCCGCTGCCTCCAGGGACGCTCCTGGCCGCGGGGCCCTGTGCCTGGCCCCGCACCCAGCTGGACCGTGCTCAGAGAGCATTTCGCCGGACCCCTGCCTCCGTGTCCTGTGCTCTGGGTAACAGCGACCAAGCTTTTGTGCATCTTTGTGGATTCTGGGTGACAGCGACCAAGCAGCTTTCGTGTATATTTATGGATTCCCATTCTAGCCCAGCCTGGCACTAGGCAAAGGCGCCAGGCAGATGGGACGAGAGCTGTAGGACCCCAGTGATGTCCATCGTGTGTCTCTTTTTTGGGGGGGGGTCACACCCAGCGATGCACAGGGGTTACTCCTGGCTCTTCACTCAGGAATTATTCCTGGCAGTGCTTGGGGGACCATATGGGATGCTGGGAATCGAACCCCAATAGGCCGCGTGCAAGGCAAACCCCTACCCGCTGTTCTATCGCTCCAGCCCCCATCGCGTGTCTTATGAGTTCAGTTCCTTTCCTTCCATTGGCAGCGAGGCTTTGCTGAGGGCAGCAGTGCCATCAGGTTTGGTGGCTGTTACTTGGCGCTGCGCCTAGAACTGTGTTGGCACAGAGAAGCTGCATTGGCTCCAGCTATCAGCGCGACCTCTCAGGCTGGGAGACAAGGTTAACCCCTTCAGGAGATTCCAAATCAAAGGTGTGTAACTAGGAGCAGAGTGATCCTTAGAGAATTAACGATCCACCAAACCACAGTCCAGAAGGGGAACTTTCATAGGTGGAAGGGCACGGAGATACCAGAAAATTCCCAACTGGAAATGTCCGTACTTATAGTAGTAGGACTCTTCTGTCTCCATGTGCTAAGTAGCATGAGTTCATTGACCTACCCAACTGAATAGATGAGTAGGTGGACACCCACCCTCTAGGGATTCCTAGAAAACAAAGAATAAACAGCCAGATTGTCACTGTCCAGAGAGAATTGTGGAAACTGTGTGTGTGTGTGGGGGGGGGGGGGGAACATAACAGTCCTGAGGCTAAGTCACCTCTGGGCTCCTTGGGAGATGGACTGAAGTATTCTGTCACTCAGGTCCAGGTTTGTGTGCCCAGGTAGAAGTACTGAGCATCTCTTACTGGACTCAGGCAGAGACTTTGTTTCTGATGAAGACGTTCAAACACAGTTTATTATGCAATGAATTTGTGAGGGTTCAAGAAGGAGTGGCTGGCACTTGCACAACCTGGCACAGAGGAAACCCTGTTAAGGCTGGATTGAGTGTTATTACCAAATCAATTACAAATAACCCATATAAAACATTTCCTCTGTGCCAGAAACGATCACATGTTCTATTTGCATCGTCTTGTTTATGTGATAAAAATTTCTTGTTCTAAAGAGGTTCAAGAAATTACATAGTGTCAAGGACTCACACTTGCCTGCTCACCCTGAAATCTGCATTCATGGTGCTGCTTTTGCAGAGGAAAATGCTTGATGCTCTGCCTAACTCAGAGCTAGTGATGGCTTTTGTGATCCAGACTTCTTATTTCTGTTCTGGGCCTTCCTGTCTCAGCTTTCTTGAACCAACTGTCTCCTTTGCGAACACTTGGAACAGCCCCTTCCCCAGCAGAATCTTTTCCTGTCAACAGCTTTTCTTTCCCTGCTTGGAACTCCTCCGCAGGTATTTCCCCCAAAGAAAGCCAGAGGAATCACATTTCAGTTTGAATGTGGAAAGAAAACAAAGATCAGGACTCAGAGCTTGAATGGCCTGGAGCCCCCAGCCTCCCTCTCTTTGGTTTACAGTCCCCAGCCTGCTCCTGGTGACAGGCATGGCATGTTTGTCTTTGTTGCAGAAAACGCTTCCCAGAGGGAGCTCCAGCCCAGCACTGTCTACCCTGGAACTTTCAGAACACATTGGGGAGGAGTAGAAGTCAAGGACATGTGAGTGGGACTTGAGCTAACCCCAAGGGTGGGCACAGTCCCTTGTGATTCTAACCTGCCATCCCCTCTACAGAGTCAAAGCACAGCTACTTTGGACTCAAAACCAACATCACTTCAGCAGACTCTTGGGCCATTGGGGAGTTCTCTGTTTGCATCTAATAAGAAGTGTGTTCTAATGAACTGCTGTGTTGTGTTAATTTTTCAACCTGACATTTTCTGCACTAATATATTCTCATAATGAATCGTAAATTAAAGTCTGCATTGAAGACTAACGTTTAAGAAAAATTCCACCACCCAGGGGGTTGGGGGCCCATAAACATCCTTTCCCTCCTAAGGAAAACCTCTCTCATTTGCAGTTCTTTCGCTAACCCAATTAAGTGCCAATGTAGTCACCCCAGAGCCTGCTTTTTATTTCCTGTGAAACAAATCCAACTAATCCATATTCAGTAGCTTCCAAGAAGAATCTTATTCCAACCTCTCATGAAGAAACCAGCTTCTTGACAGATCTGGACAGAATATTTAGAACTCACAAAGAACTGTCTTGAAAAAGAATACAAGAAAGTGGCCCATTATTATCCTTTTTGATTTTTCAAGAAAAAAATTCACTGATACTAAACTCCCCTACATATTAGAAGTTTTTCATAGAACAGATGTGTAGGGAGAAGCCATGCCACATCCCCTCACTTTATAAAAAGTTTGGATGCTACATCTTCCCTGGCACCCAAACTTGTTACAAAACCATGCTTACTGGTGAAAGAAAATAGGAATCCAGTTCAAGCCTTGATAGGTTAGGAACTCCAAACTGGCGAAGCCAATGACTTGAATTTGTTGCACCACTGGCCACCAGGGAAGAATCAAGTTCCCACTGAGATCTTACCTGTCAGATAACTGTTCTTCCTCCTATCAAACAAGAATATACACAGGACATTGTTGCATATTGGTAGTGATGATTTAATAAACAGCCAAAAAGCTTAGCAGATGACAGAGACCATGTGGACATGCTTTGTACCCCCACAGCCTAGTTTCTTTTCAGTATTTGCCAATGAAACACTGGCCATATGAGTTGCTTTGAGCCTGCCACTGAGCTGATTACTGGGCAGAAAATTGGAAGGGATATGTACATGTCAATGGTGGTCCATATCCGCCTAAAGCTTAGTGACATTTTTGCATAAGTGCTTTTTCTTACCTCCTGTACTTTATTTTGTTTGTTACCTGAGGGAGGTGTGGGTGGGTGTTATTCTTCACAGACCTCTGAGCATACTGCTCCTAGACAACAAAAAATTATAGTAACTGACCCCCAGAAGGATCTAAATCCATACTTAGGTTAAATAAATGAGCTATAAGTTCTCTGGTTCCTCAGAAACAAAGAAACTTCATTATATGCTGGGTATAGGTCACCTACAGATTTTAACCTAATTGATTTCAGAATTATGGTCATGTCCAGACTCTAAGCCTCACTACAAGGAAGCCATAGTGCACAACTTCTCCTTTCTCCAAAACTTATACTTACCACTTAGCTTCTTTTTCTATTTTACTGCACCCATTCTTGTTTTTTCTTTTCTTTATTTAGCTTTTTGGGCCACACCCAGCAATGCTTAGGGACCATTCCTGGCTCTGCACTCAGGAATTACTCCTGGCAGGACTCGGGGGACCATATGGGATGCCGGAGATCAAACCTGAGTTGGCCACATGCAAGGCAAATGCCCTACCCGTTGTACTATCACTTTGGCCCTACTGCACCCATTCTTAAACTATTTTAGGGAGAAAAGAAAAAAAAAGTATCTCGGCCAAAATCATTAATTCAGAGGTCTATGATCTTCTCATGAATCAGACTAAGAAATTTTTTAACTCTGGTCACTGGTCAGTTTACCACTCAAAATCAGAGAGATCACATCTCTCATTGTTGCCACTTGTAGCTATGATGAACTATGTATGAACAGAATAGGTGGTCTTGAACCAAGGGTTTGTAAGGAGTCTTGAGGACCTTAAGCCAAGGAGTTGTAATTCAGGGAAACATCTGTAGTTGGTGAGTTTGTAGGAAAAAAAACAGATTTTTCCTAATATTTTAAAGAAAATTTAAAACTTTAAAAAGTTTAGTAGTGAGAAGTGTGTCACCCAAGTACTGGGTCGGTACGGAAGGGAAGTCACCTTAATGTTCTCAGAGGCAGACTTCTTATCAGGTGATGCAGAAAAGGAACTAATAAAAATAAAATTGAGGTTAATAATCATCAAAGGATTAACTACCTACTTGCTATGGCTAAACTAGACAAAGTCCTTGGCATTGATTTTAAACGTTGCCTCCAATTCTTTAGCTTTCTTTGCTTGAAGGGCAGAGTTCATGTTTTCTCTTTTTGAAACCGGTAGAATGTGTGACTTCTTCAATTAATAAAGTATGGTGGAAGTGACACTAGGTGAC